TAGTTCACATTGTCAACAAGCCGGCCGGGGCCCGGCCGCCGACCGGGCCATCGTGGACAGTTTCGGGCGCACGGGCGCGGGCTAATTTTATACTCCTATAATGTGCATGTTAACATGTCAATGTGAATATTCACATTGTCACGGGTCGGGCCAAGCCCGCCTCGGGCTGCGGTCGGGCTTCGGGCGCCCACGGGCTGCGCCGATTTTACACTCTTTCAATGTGAATGTTAACATGTCAATGTGAATATGACAGTTTTCAACGCGGCCGCCCGGGCTCGCGCGGGCTTTTGGCCGCCATGCCGCGGGCCAATTTTATACTCTTATCAATGTGAATGTTAAATGTTAATGTGGAATATTCACATTGTCAACGGCCGGACCGGGCCCGCCCGGGCCGCCCATGGGCCGCGGGCGGGTTTCGCGCCGCCACGGGACGGGGGCCAATTTTTACACTCCAATTATTAAATGTGAATATTCACATTTGTCAACGGGCCGGGCCGGGCCGGGCCCGCCTGGAAGCGACCGGCTGCTCTAATTTTATACTCTTATCAATGTGAATGTTAACATGTCAATGTGAATATTCACATTGTCAACAGGCCGGGCGGGCCCGCCCGGCCGCCCAGACCGTGGGCGGTTTCGGCAGCCACGGACGGGGCCAATTTTACACTCCTATCAATGTGAATGTTAACATGTCAATGTAATATTCATTTCAATGGCGGTCGGGCCCCGGGCACAGGGGGCTTGGCAGGCCCAGCCCGGGCAATTTATACCTTATCAATGTGAAATTAACAGTTAATGTGCAATCACTTTGTCATGCGACCGAGCCGCGCCCGGCCGCGGGCGGGCGGGTTCGCTCCCACGGGACAGGCCAATTTTACACTTCCTATTAATGTATTTAAATGTCAATGTGGAATATTCACTGTAACGGGCCGGGCCCCCGCCGCGCGGCGGGTTTCGGGCCGCCCACGGGCCAATTTACATTCCTACAATGTGAATTTTAAAATATGAATGTTCACATCATTAAATTGCTAATCGTTAAAAAATATTTATAAAGGTATCAAAATTAAATATAAGGGCATAAGTGTCCAAGAAAAATAGTGTAAATAAGAAAATGGACTTTATGGAATAAACTAACATACATGGGACTAAATGGGTTTAAAAATTCCTTCATGGATTCTTTGGGTTAAAACACTTCTAAATTGGACTTATCAATAAAAATCCCATGAAAACTATACAATTTAATTATTCATCTAGTCCATGGAAAAAAAAAACAAACACTTAACGTCTTCGCTGGACTTCAAGAAACAGTCTCTGTATTAAATTTTATTATTAATAAAATATTTTGGTTGTGTGCAAACGACAGCATCAGTGGGTTGGAATTTTGTAATTTTTTTTGGACACAAGTCTATAAATGATCACTACCTGATAACACCAAGGGACAGGAGGGTCAAACCTACACAAACACGAAATTTTATTACAAATAATTCTGTTTAATTGAAAATTATGAGCACATTTTTAATTATTATTTTTACACTATTTAGATGACCATTGACATTTGTTTTACTCTCATGTAACTGCATTTAACTTCATTAAAAAATATGTTGAAATTAAAGAATTTAGGATAATTATATGTTTTATTTTGTTCTTTTAATTTTGAAGATAATGAATTTTTTGTTACTATTTGAGTTTAAGATAATAAAAAATATGGGATGATCGCAATACCCACCGTGCATGGTTGATGCCGACGTGTCAGCCGACAGCAGGTTGCCACGTGTCATTTGTGGTGATCCTCGTGCTCTACTGGTCTTATCTCGGCGAGGGCTTAGGTTATCTCCGAAGATACGGAATTCGGAGATAAGTGGATAAGGGACAAGAGTCCTAGAGTAAGGAGAAGGACTTTTAGATTATTCATGATAAGGTATACATCCAGTAGGGAGTTTTAAATCTTTTACTTGATCCTGTGAATCCTCAAAGTTAAGCACTCACTTGAAATTGGAGTCCATAGAAGTCAGGCTTCAGTAGGACTTGGATTTGAGTAAAACTATAAAAGAGAGAGGACACCCCCGTAGCGGGTCTAAGGTTACACATTTATACACAAGCTTGTGAGTTAGCACTTGATTATCTTTGAGAGATATACTGACTTGATCGTCGGGTGCCCCTTGGGTGGGAAGACCACCGCCGGAGCTTTTTCTTCTGTTACAGGTTTGCTAAAGCCATTACTATTCTGTCGGTTGCTCTCCAGCTGTGTCAGTAAAACTTTTAACTAAGCGCGGCAGGATATAGTCGGTTCAGAAAATTACCCACACAAGTTTGGCGCCGGTCTGTTGGGAATCTTAGAAGAAATAAGATGGCCGTAACGGGACAAAAGGAAAACATTGGGGCGACATTCCTTACTGGAGTGGTTAGACCAATTGACCTTAATTGTTGAAGGGAGACAACCACAATGCAGCAAATTCATGACCAAGGCTACAGTCGAGAAAAACGTTTCGGCCAGGAGGGGCAACACTTCAAAGAAGACGGACCAAGCCAAGTACTATAACGAAGATAACCTTCAGTATGGAGGGATTAGGTGGCCTACGGAGGGTTGAGGAAGTAAAGGACTTGGCAAACCAAGTTGGCGGACCTACAGCGGTCGTCAACTTCATGATGCAAAAATAAATAATTGTCATGTAGCCACCATACCCGGTTGCAGGACACACCGATGCCAGCAACCAATACCCAGAAGGGAGGAAGAACAACAATCCCAAGCACCTCAGCACACAGGAGCGGAAGGGTACTCTCACCGACCTTCCATGGAAGGCGACGAGAGAGCGAGACAAGAAGAGGTCCCGAAGGACGTATCACACGAAGGATCAGAGCCCAAAGAACATCGCCAGTTTCAAGGGGCAGCACTTTGCTTTGACACAAACACGATGGAGAGAGATCAAAAACGACCGCCCACCACCGAGGCCGAAAGTAGTGTGCCAAAAGATTGAAATCAAAAGACAAGGCCGAGCTCCAGCGGAGGAGTTAAAGAAGATTTCGAGAGATTACGTCAAGAGGAAGGCAACAAATTTGAAGCCGGAGAACTCCCCATGTTAAGCCAAGGGATTTACATTTCTCGGTGGAAAAACTAGCACAAATTTGAAGCGCCAAAGAGATTCAGGTATGCCGAGGTTCCAAATATTTGTGGTAATGTCAGATCCCAACTTTCCATGTTTGGACTAACCTGAACTCAAGGCATTATATTAGTGGGAACGAGCCATTGCTTCTGCAAAGTATTCCCCTTCATCCTTCTGGAAATGGGATTGGTTCCATTACACTACCGAAGGAAGCGTAAAGACAATGGGAAGGCTTGGCCGAGATGTTTGTGGCCAGGTTTGTGACGAACAAATTACAGCCCTGAGGTCGACGCCCTGATGGCCTTTAAGAATCACCAAGAAAGAAGGCCTTAGGGCCTATGCGAAGAGGTACTACGATCGGTGTTCCAATCGAGATTACTCGAATCTTATAGTAACATCGCACCCAACCTAAGACTGATAGGAGACGTGACCATGTAATCGTTTCTAAGAACGGCCTGGAAAAGATTGACTGCCCACTACAGAAGTCTTTGGTAAAAACATGCCAAAAAGCAATTTGGAAGAAAACCATTGGCCGAGAATCGAGAAACTAGTACCGCCAGAGCCTTGAGGGAAGATACGTCAGGAAACCCAAAGAGGATGAAGCAGAGAAGGGAAACGGCTCGCCCGGAAGCGAAGGCCTCCGACGCGGGTCCCGTATTTCTTTGTATGCTCAGGGGTTCCTACACTGTCCCAACCTTCGTCGACGAACTCCATCTCTCATTCTGTACTACTTTACTCTTATCAATGTGAATGTTTAAACATTATTACAATGTGAATTATTCACATTTGTCAACGGGGCTGGACCGGGCCCGCACCAGGGGTTCAACAGACCCAATGGTTCGGCGCGCGCGGCGAGGTTTGGCACCGCCACGGCCGCGAGGGTGGCCACACATAACCAATGTGATACAACAACCCAGACATATATGATTAGAGGGGTTAGAAAACCTAATTAAACATGTCATGTGCAATATTCACATTGTCAACGGGTCGGGCCGGGACCGGACCGGGCCGGTCGGTCGGGCACGCCCTTGGCTGCCTGTCTAGTTTTTACTTCTTATTCAATGTGAATGTTAACATGTTCAATGCTGACATTAACATTTGCAACAGCCGGCGCCGGGCCTGTCCACGAGCCTGTGGGCGGTTTCGCGCCCGCCACGGGACGGGGCCAATTTTACACATCCTATTTTAATGTGAATTTTAACATTCATGTGAATATTCCACTTGTCAACGGGCTGGGCCCGCCTTGGGCTCGCGGGGCGGGTTTCGGGCCGCCCACGGGCCAATTTACATTCCTACAAATGTGAATTTTAAAATATGAATGTTCACATCATTAAATTGCTAATCGTTGAAAAAATATTTATAAGGGTATCAAAATTAAATATAAGGGCATAAGTGTCCAAGAAAATAGTGTAAATTAAGAAAATGGACTTTATGGAATAAAACTATACATACATGGGACTAAATGGGTTAAAAAATTCCTTCATGGACTTGTTGGGTTAAAACACTTCTAAATTGGACTTATCAATAAAAATCCCAATTGAAAACGCCTATGACAAGTTTCTAATTATCTACTGTTCAAAAAAAAAAAAAAAAACAAAAAACGTGCACTCTCTGGTGGGACAAAATATCAGTCTCTTATTACAATTTTTTATTATCTTAAAATATTAATTTTTTTAAAAAAAATTAAAAAAAAATAATATGAATTTATTATTTTGTCTTTTTTTAAATTCATTAATAACACAAATACAATTATAATAATTAATATTCTTAAAAAAATATTATTAAGAAGTAATTTTGAAAAAATTAATAATTGTAAAATATAAATAAATATCTAATACAGTATCTAAGAATTTTCCAATATCTGTTAAAAAAAAAAGAAAAAGAAAAAGAAAAAACACTTACTTACTACAGCCGCCCTGACAGAAGCAAACTATGCTTTTGCTGCTCACGTCGTATCCACATCGTCCACCTGTCAGCTCACAAGTCTGACAGTCCGTAATATTAGGCCATTCCAGCTGAAACCCATAACTCAACACATCCGCAAGCAGCGTCCGAGTGCCATCAGCATCAGCACCACTCCTGTTCGACCTTAGCCTCTGCAAGCTCGCACCAGATAAGGGCAAACTCACGTTCTCGCACCCAACCGGCGTCTCCACCACCGGACCCAGGCCGGGCCTGACTTGGGTCCGAGTCCCATCCCAAATGTAAACCCGATTCCCCTCACTACAGTTGTAATTACCCACAACCTGATCGAGAAATCCACTGGGGAGAGAATTCCCATTTGGACACTTGAAGATTGTGAGATTCACACCTCCCACTAGAAGCCCGAGGACCGCGTTTCCCACAGTGCCATCCGTAATTGAAATTGTGAGGTTTTGGAGAGAAGTACACGAACCCAATCTAATCTCGTTGATGAGTTGGTTGTCGACGATGGTGACGAGACGGTCCGATGAGAAGAGTTGTTTGACTTGGTATAGGCGGCCGGAGAGCTCGATGCTGGGGATTGAGGAGGAAGGGTCGCAGGGGATTTGGAAGCGAGGGAGGCCGCAGTCGAATTGGGCTGTGCCAAAGGTAGAGGAGGGGGAGAAAGGGAAGCTGAAGGTGATATCGCCGCAGTTGAAGGGTGCGCAGAGGTCGAAATATGACTTCTGTTGTTGGGTTTGGGATTGAGTAGTGGTGGTGGATGTGATTATGAACAGTAGAATAGCTGGCAGGATTCAGGAAGATTAGGGAAGATCGAGATTGGGTCGCCATCGATTGATTTGGGGAATGACTTTATAAATCAATCTCTCTCTCTCTCTGCTAGTAAGGCATTAATTTTGTATTGTGGTGGTGTGGATGTGGATGGGTTTCCTGTCAAACACTCGTCTTCCTCCACATCCCTTAGTTGACCGTTTGGGAAAAAAGTTTATTCTATGAGAGCATCTCCAACGGTTACTCAGATTTTTCACCAAATTTGAGTAAAAAATGACTCATTTTACCAATTTGATACCACTCGCTCCAACGGTGTACTTTCATCAAATTTGTACCAGGGGCAACCGGTTGGTCGACCGGTTAAGCGAAATTTTTTTTTTTTTTTTTTTGAACTTTTTGAACCTTTTAGTGGTCGACCGGCTGGTGTGTCATGGCCTTATCCGAGTCGACCGGTTAAGCGAATTTTTTTTTTTATTTTTTTATTTTTTGGAACTTTTTGAACCTTTTAGTGGTCAACCGGCTGGTCGACCGGTTAAAATTTTTTTTTTTTTTTTTTTTCTGTTTGAACCTTTTTTTTCGAACCGTTTGAACCTTTAGGCGGTCAACCGGTTGGTCAACCGGCCGGGCAACCGGCTGGTTGACCGGTTGGTCTCTCCCAACGGTTAGGAACAGTGATTTGGTAAAATGCTTCGCCTGTTCTCATTTTGGTACAAGATTTGCTGAATTCTGGATTTGATATCGATTTGGTGAAACCGTTGGAGCTCAAAAAAGTGGCTTTTTCATCAAATTTTGAATTTGATATCAGGTTTGCTGAAGCGTTGGAGATGGTCTGAAGGGAAAGACATGTATAAAAATGACTTTATCAACCATGATTTTATGAAGGAAAATGTTTGGGACCCTATACGGGGATGATCTCCACACCACTAAGCCTTCGTTTGGGAAATGGGTTGATTTTTTTGTTTTTTGATTTTTTTGACTATTTTAATTTGGACTAAAAAATTTAGTTTGGAAGGAACTTTTTAGTTTTTTTGACTTTTTGGTGATGTGGTGATGTGTCTTACTATTCAATTACCAAACTGCCCCTTATGTTCAACTTGTACTTGTGGCAATGAAAGTGGTCCTCCATGTCAGCCTCCCTGGAGAACCAAATTTGGATAATTTTTTTTAAAAAATTTTAAATAATTTTTTAGTTTTTTTGACTTTTTGACTTTTTGGTGATGTGTCTTACTATTCAATTACCAAACTGCCCCTTATGTTCAACTTGTACTTGTGGCAATGAAAGTGGTCCTCCATGTCAGCCTCCCTGGAGAACCAAATTTGGATAATTTTTTTTAAAAAATTTTAAATAATTTAAATAATGTTAATATTAAACAATGTTAATATTGGATAATTTAAATAATGTTCAATTTAAATAATTTAAAATATTAATATTTTCAATTTGAAAACAACTCTACACTGAAATCGTAACCAAACACATAAAATATTTATTATATTGTCCTGCGTATTTTATTTTTATTTAATTTTAATTTATTTTTAAATATTTAATATAATTTTTATTTTTATTCATATTTTAATTTTAATTTTTAATTTTTAATTTTACTTTTAATTTTAATTTTATTTTAAATATTTAAATAATGTAAATAATCTACAAAATTGAATAAGTAAAAAATTTAAAATAAATATTCAAAAAATTATTTTAACAAAAAAATTTAAAAATTTTGTTTTAAATTTAAATAATTTTAAATGTTAATATTTTAAATTTAAAAACAACTCTACACTCAAGTCGTAACCAAACACATAAAATGAAACTCAATTCATAAATTATTGAGGTAACTCATAACCAAACACATAACTTGAAATTCCATACTACTTTCACAACTCTACACTCAAATCATAACCAAATACATAACAAAAAAAAAAAATTTATTTAAAAATATTTTTATCAAATATAGTTTAAATTTATTTTCATAAAATATTTTAACAAAAAACAAAAAAAAAATGTTTTAATTTTTTTTTTCAACTTTCTTTGTCTTTCCTAGTAAAAAGCCTAATTTGATTTTTTTTTTATACTTTCTGTGGGCTGATGCCGCCCCTCTTTCATGTGGGGTAGTATGGTAAATTAACTTGTCAAATTGTTGCAGCCATGCTCCCAACTTTCTTTTGTCCGTTTGTGGCTAAATTAGCCACTTTTGTCATTTAGTGGCTAATTTAGCCCAAACTCAACTTCCCAAACGCAGCCTAAAGTGATTGCAATCCTATGTGTATGGTCTACTTGTGTATTACTATAAGAAAATACACATTTGGCAATTAAAATTGGCGACTAAAAAAATTTAGTCTCCAAAAGTTGTGGAATTGGTAACTAAATTTTTTTTTAGTCGACAAAAGTATAATATTTAGCTACTAATTTTTTTTCGTCGGAATACATTGATTATTAGCAATTAAAAAAAATTTAGTAGCTAAAAATACTAGAATTGGCCACAAAAAAATTATTTTAATCGCTGTATGTTGAGTTTTGGCTACTAAACCATTTAGTCGCCGAATAGAATATAAATAATTATTTTTTATCTTTGGTGACTAAAAGTTTCATTGCAAAAAATATTTTTTCATCGACAAAAAAATATTTTAGTCGCCGTATATCGAGTTTTGGCTACTAAAATCATTTAGTTGCCGAATGGAAAATAAAAAAATATTTTTTTGTCTTTGGCGACCAAATTTTTGATCGTCAAAAACTTATTTTCAGTGACAAAAAAAAATTTTAGTCGCCATATATTGAGTTTTGGCTACTAAAATCATTTAGTCACCAAATAAAAAAAAAATATTTTTTGTCTATTTTTGGTCGCCAAAAATTTATTTTCAGCGACAAAAATAAATTTTAATCGCCAAAAAATTAAAATATTTGAAGGAATTTTTCAAAATTTTGAGGGATTTATAAATGAATTGGCGAGTAAAAAATTTAGTCGCTAATGGTGTAATATATATATACTTGGTTTCCAAATCACAAAACCAGCGCTTGTGTCTCTTCAGCACCTGTGTGTGTGTCTCTCTCTCTCTGTGCCTCTCCCTCTCCGCTGCTCCTCTCCCTTCCCTCTCTCTCCGCCCTCTCCTCTACCTCCCTCCTCCTCCCAACGCTACTCAAACCCTGGCCCCATTTCCATTTCACTATCGCCTTCGCTTGTTGACTTTTCGTCAAATCTTAGGATTCGTTACTCGCCCACTACTGCTTCTCAAGTTATGGACGACTCAACCACCACCACCGTCTACTAGGGGTGCAACTCGGGCGGGTTCGGTCGGGTTGGGGGTCTGCCCAAGCCCGACCCGAATTGTATTTGGCACTGCCCAAGCCCGCCCAAGCCCGACCATGAACCCGAACATTGTTGCCCAAGCCCGGCCCAAGCTTTGTATTTTGAACTCGGAAAAAATTAAAATATTTGAAGGAATTTTTCAAAATTTTGAGGGATTTATAAATGAATTGGCGAGTAAAAAATTTAGTCGCTAATGGTGTACTATATATATACTTGGTTTCCAAATCACAAAACCAGCGCTTGTGTCTCTTCAGCACCTGTGTGTGTGTGTGTCTCTCTCTCTGTGCCTCTCCATCTCCGCTGCTCCTCTTCCTTCCCTCTCTCTCCGCCCTCTCCTCTACCTCCCTCCTCCTCCCAACGCTACTCAAACCTGGCCCCATTTCCATTTCACTATCGCCTTCGCTTGTTGACTTTCCGTCAAATCTCAGGATTCGTTACTCGCCCACTACTGCTTCTCAAGTTGTGGACGACTCAACCACCACCACCGTCTACGGATTCTTTCCCCTCGTCTTTCAGCAAGTTCAATTCGGCTCTCACTGCTGGAGTATTGAATCCCATGTCTCCACCACCACCTCCCTCCGACAAGGCCCAATCGAGCCCGACCCTTTTCGAAATGATGGCGAGAGAGCCCGATTCCATTCCCAGATCCCAGATCCCAACAGCGATTGTCGGAGATTTTGGGTTCTCGGAGTTCGGGAAGTCAGTTCAATGACCCCAATTCGAACGAGCGATGTCACCAGAGCACTTGGAATCTTGAAGGTACTAATAATCATTTGCACATTGTAAACTATGAACTTTTGTTGAATTTGTAGATTTATATGTTTGTACCTATTTGTATGTGTATATGAAATGATGGGTTCATTGGCATATTGTTCTGGTAGGGTTTTAGGAATTTGAATTCTGTTTGATATTCTTGTAATTTAGGTTTTACCTGCAATTGGGTTTGATATGCATGTGTTTATGATATGATAAATTAATTGGCATTTTGTTCTGGGTTGTTAGGAATTTGAATTGTGTTTCATGTTATTGTAATTTAGGTTTCAGCTGCAATTGGGTTTGATGCTGGGGTTTTGTCATATTTGGAGTATTTAGAGGCTGCTCCATGGGCTGAAGATGAAGAAGAGAAGGTGGCTTCAGTATGTAGCTAATGAGAGCTTGGACAAGCTTCTCTTCAGTAAGTCCTCTTCTGCTTTGATTTTTTTTGGTTGCAACACTCTGTTCTTATTTATGTAGAGTTGAAATTGGGACACCAAAATTGAATTTATGGTTGTTATAGTAGCAATTAGTGACGAGTTTGTTGAATTTTAGCTATCATGGTTAGCTGCCAATTGAATAAACAGGTACCAGGTAGATGTATTGAAATTTAAGACATTGAATATGGTATGTTTCATATTTGTAAATGGAAGTTCTTCATTAAATTGTTGATGGTGTCATAGTACCAGTCAGTGTTGCACATTGCTAGACCTAGGGCGGTCTCAACTGCTTCATTCATATTCTCTGCATCTTGGAAAGAATCAAATCAGCTGTTATGAGTATTTTCAAGAATCAAATCATCTTGAAGAAGTAGGCAATTGTTTCTTCCCTTACATTTGTGTTTTTTACTCAATTTTTTCCCCTAAAATGTTTTTCGCGAATATTTTATTGTATGGCTAAGGATGCTCTCTTCCAAATTTAATTATTTTCTCACTTTATGGGTGGAGGTCTTGCCCTCCCCAAACCCTGTTTTATATGATTGTCACATCACGGGGTGCAATTAATGATCCTAAGTTATAATTGCAGGTTTTGAGATATGTAGAAGGTTTATGCTGGGTTTGCTGGTACTACTACCATGGTGTCTGCTCATGGCAATGGTCAGTTTTTGATTTAGTAGTAGTACATATGTCGATAACTTACTTATATTTATAGCACACCATCAAAATGGTTAGTTAACTTATATTTATTATATGAATACCAGCCACAAACACTCAATGTGTTAGTTGGAAGCTTGTCATTGTGATGCTCTAAATTATCAGAGCCTCAAATTATTTTGGCATCATCTGGCAAATGTTGGCGTATGATGTAGGGCTTACTTTAGACCTATGTTGTTGTTAGATGGTTTAGAGCGGTGGTTTTAGCTATATATTTATATGTGTGGAGTTTAGTGGGCTTGACAGTTTGAGAGGCACTCTGCGGGTTTGACAATTTTTGGACATATATCTATTCTTTTAGTCGTATTGGTCTGAGTCGTATTGGTTATGAGTCATATTGGAAGAGACAACTTGTATTGATTAGCAATCATGTTTGCTAGTAATAGATTTATGTCTGATAGTTGTCCATCTTCTTTGTATGACAAATTTTGAAACCCGGTCTATGACATGTCCCACCTCATCCAATTTGTATTTATAGTGCTAGAAGTCCAACCTGTGTTTATAGTATAAGAAATTCATTTACTTATTCTTCCTTTCCGCAAGGAAAGGAGCCCAATGTTATTGTCTTATTACACTTCCTAATCTATTAGAAGACATAACTACTTGACCCAACAAATCACACCCTTCCCATGTGCACCGCACCACAACCCCTTCTTTGGGTGCCCTTTTGTTGGGGTGTATTGCAAATCTCACTTTATAAATTGTTATGACTCCTCTCTTTGTGTGTTTTTGTTGTGTATTGAATGTGTTTGATATGTGGATTGTGTGGACAAACTCTGAAATGGGTAGTGATGATAAACTCTGAATTTGGATCATTGGTTTTGGTGATTGTTTGATTGATGTACTTTTAGATCCAATTCTACACTAGTTGAAGACTCCTCAACTAATAGAATGAACTGGGTCAATTCTACTTGACATGTATCAATAAAGTTGAATTCTTTAACCGTCTTTTGTGCCTTTAAACTGTTTCCTAATGTCTGTTTTGGATTTGGCTTTGGCTAATTGGATGGCTTGGAATATTTGGTGGTTCAACAAATGCCAAGGTAATTGTAACTTCACTTACTGCATTAGAATCCATGTATTTCCTTTTATTTTTCATGTTGCTTTCTCTTACTTTTGAACAATTAACTTTAAACTAATTGTTACAAATGTTGTATTGAGCCCAGATGTTCTACTAAATAGTCACATTTCAACACTCAAAATATATTGTAAGGATGCCCAATAACTAACTAATTATGGTACAAAAGCTTTTCCTTGTTCAATAGGATCTGATAAACCATACAAACTAGAGCCTCAAGGTGTTGATTTATCATGATGAGCTTGAGCCGATGTTGAGAGGCTTGCTTTGGTTATTGACTAACATTGGACTTGAGAGAGGTTGGCATATGGCAATCTGCAAGGTGGATTGCCTGCCAACATATGTTTGAAATGTTACATCATACATGTATCATTCTAGAATATTATGCTTTTGATGACTGATGTGGTTAATCCATACTTATGAAGTTGGTTCTTCCTTTGAATGACAAAAAAAAGAAGAAATTGAACTCTAGTTTGACAAATAATTCAATTAGAAGAAAGAATTGTACCTTACTGCTACTCTTATAGAACTCTTATAGAATTTTCTGCAGGGGTTTATTATGTTCAATTCTGCAATTTAATCAGTAATGGGTTCTGGAGATTGGTTTAAGAATATAATTAGCTTAAAGAAAGGGAATGATGCAATTTATTCTTTACAATTTGTTACTTTGTAACACAGAGAAGTTGATTTATATATGAACGTCATTGTGTCTTTTTTCACTCTTCAGGAAGCTTTGGATATTGTTCATGTTAAGTCCACATCAAAAGGAATTTGGGGTGCTCTTTTTTTATTTTATATTTTATTTTTGTTGATACCTTTACAATATTGGTTTGCCATATGTTCAAAAGAGTTGAAATTTATTGGCTATCTTTGGAAATTTGCATGTGAGGTGAATTCTTCTTACTGGTGCCTTCAATTTTATATTGGTTGGCAAATTATATCTTGAATTTGGTTTTTAAGCATATTGGAGAATTTATGCATTCAAAATTGGCAAAATTTCACCTCATAATTCACTTGCTTTTACTCTCTTGCCTTGGTGGTTTATTTTCTCTCTCTCTGTACTTGGTGTTTTCTCATGCTTTCACTTGTCACCCAAATTTCAGCTATAAAGCTGATGTGAAGCATTTGTTTGTTTATTTGTTTTGTTTTTTTGATGTTTTAATTGAGCAAGTGGAAAGTATAGCTGAAGCAACTTATTTTAAGTATTTCAATCGAAGTTTCTTCCCAATATTTAAGAAATAAGGTGAATATGAGTCATCTCTGCACCTCCCATTTGGAAGTCAAGCTTTATTATATGTGTTTGTGTGTACATATATCAAACCCCCAGTTGATATAATGGAAGCAACAGTATTAATTAGGCTGCTTGATTATATTCTTACATGCTGCATGATTATTGCATTGAAGCACGTAGCTATTTTAACATTGATTGTTATAATTTGAAATGTCATTTTTATTGAACAAGTGTTAATGATTATTTTTTTTAATTTTTTTTTCACAGATTGCTTTTGCGTGGGTTGTTGTAGATATTTATTTTTGTGTATGAAGAGCATTTGTTCTGTATATAGTAGACATTTATTTTTGTACAATCCTCTGTTTTGGAAATCTAGTATTTTTGTATGTAATATTTAATTTAGATGATTAATATTTGGTTGGTATGGATTTATATGATATTTAGAATAAGATGTTACAAGTTAATGTTTTTGGATAGTTGATAATGAAATGAGTATTATTGATAATGGATTTAAATTATAATTGATAGATGTATTATGCTGTATATGTATATGTTATATGTTGCATTGATAATGGAATGCATATAATTTAAAAATTAATGAAAAATATTCAATTTGTGCATTTAAAAAAAAATTAATAAATAGAGCTTTTGGCGACTAAACATTTAGTAGCCAAAAAATAAAAAGAGAACTTATTGGCGACTAAACAGTTAGTAGCAAAAAAATAAATAAAAATTTTTAGCGACTAAAAAATTAGTAGCTAAAAAGGAGCACTATTATTTTAGCGATTAAAAGGTTGGTAGCCAAACAAGAGTGTCACGTTTTTAGCGACTAAAAAATTGGTAGTCAAAAAGAAGTGCTACGTTTTTAGCGACTAAAAAATTAGTAGCTAAAAAATTGAAGATGGAAAATATTTTTTTTGGTGACTAAATATTTTCTTTTGGGCGACTAATTTTTTGGTCGCCAATAGGCGATTTTCGGAGACTAAAAAAAATTAGTTGCCAATTCTTTTGCTGACAATTAGTCAATGACCAAACTGGCGACCAAGAATTTTAGTCGGCAAAAATCTTTGGCGACATAACAAATGGCTTTTGGAGACTAAAAATTTAGTCACCAAAAGTGTAATTTGTTGCAATGTGTGTGAAGTCCACATCATAAGTAGTTCAAATTTGTGAAGATCTTGTAGGGGTGAGGGTCTCAATCATTACTCTTTTATCAAACATTTGAATGAGTCCAATGACTACAGCATATATATGTATGTATATATATATAAATAATGTCTAGCATAATCTCATTCAAATGTTAATAACTTATTCATATCTTGTATTCATGATATCCTTAGTCGAAAGTAGAGGTGGACCTCTCGCGATGCACCGAAGGTGCATTGCAATCCTGACGAGTCAGGATTGTGTCAAAATTAGGCCAAGTTTGGCAACTCTTAAAAAATTCAAAAAGTCAAAAAGTCACTAACCTATTTAAATCACATCATCTTATTTAAGTCACATCACCTCTCTAACACATCACTTCAAACCCAATCCAAACCCAACCCATATTTCATAAAAAATCAAAAAGTACACTTATTTAGTCTTCCCAAACTTGGCCTAAGAGTATTTATGAGTCTGTAATGTTAGTTTTAACCAATTAGTCTTTACCTTATAAATTATATGCGATGCACCGAAGGTGCATTGCAATCCTGACGAGTCAGGATTGTGCCAAAATTAGGCCAAGTTTGGCAATTCTTAAAAAATTCAAAAGTCAAAAAGTCACTAACCTATTTAAATCACATCATCTTATTTAAGTCACATCACCTCTCTAACACATCACTTCAAACCTAATCCAAACCCAACTCATAAAAAATCAAAAAGTACACTTATTTAGTCTTCCCAAACTTGGCCTAAGAGTATTTATGAGTCTGTAATGTTAGTTTTAACCAATTAGTCTTTACCTTATAAATTATATCAGTTTATACGTTTTAGGGTTAGAACGAAATAGAGAAAGTCATGGAGTGATTTGTAAAACTTATTACATATAGTGGATTTTGATTGTTTCTTCACCATGAATGTAGGCATCTCGTCGAACCACTTATATCTTATGTTTGTGTTTGATTATTCTTTTCGTTATTATTTATTATGTGATTAAAACCAGATTATTGCATAACAAACTTATTATTTATGGTGATGAGATTTTCAGTTCTATCTAGATTTCGGTCATTCAAATATAGTCTTTCAGTAAAGACGTGGGATCGAATTGACACAACATACAAACTTTAGGATCATGATTATTTTTTTATAATTCCGTTAATAACCTAGATAATCGTTCAAAATTGAACCAAAATACAAAATTAGTAAATTTATTGGAACTTTGTTTGGAAAGAGTTAATTTAGCCTAGTTTTTTAATTTTTTTGACTAATTTAGCTTGGCTAAATTAATTCCGTTTGTGAAATTTTTTTTTGCCTTTTTTGGTTTGGATGTGATAATTGTGAGAGAAAAAATGAATGATTATGGTTTGGATGTGACATTTTATCTTATTAACTTATTTAGCTTATTTTGTATTTTTGTGCTTATGTAGACAAAAAAAAAATTTTTGTTGCCAAACAACAACTGATAAAATTGACAAAATTACAACTTAGAAAAGCCACAAAAACAACAACATTACAAATCCACCCTTATCATCCCAGAATTTATATATAAAAAAAGAATCAATGGTTCAAATTTATTTCATATGTAGATTTCACATTTCATCAATTCAATATTCACCACACAAATACATTTAGTATAAATTCAGGATCCATAAAAATGGGTTCAGAGCATTTTTTCCCCATAAAAAACATATTTGAGGGATCATGAATGTATTTTATCTCCCACCTCCCGTAAAGAAAATAAAATAAAATAAATGCACTACAACATATAAGAATTTTAGAGACCAAATGTTTTTATTTTTAAAAGTGAACATTTTGTTGTAAAAGGCATTTAAGGACCAATTTCTTTCTTCACGAGGATAGTCGCTAAAATGTCGTCCCGAAAAGTCAAAAACAAAACTTTTAACGACAAAATTTTGAAAATGTCACTAATAAATAGACTTTTAGGGACAATAATTTGGTCTCAAAATGATTTCTTTTTTGAGATAAAAAATTTGGTCCAAAAGAATAATAATTCATCACTAATGTCTAATTTTCGTTGTTAAAAATATAATGACACTTTTCGTAACAAAAATATTTGGTCCCTAAAAAATAATTTTATCCTCAAATTTTGGTTTCTAAAACCTTATTTTATTTATTTATATATATATATATTTTTTTGTAGTGAGGGATTGATTACACTTTTACCCCTACGGGTGTGTTTGTTTGGACGGACTGGATAAGGAGAGATTGTAATCCATTGGACTATTAGTCCTGGGATACATTGTCCCGGACTATTTGGTTGGATTAGATTTATATCCTATGTTTGTTTAGTCATAGATTAAATGTCTGGATTGGACTATTTTTAGTGAATCCAATGTTTGTTTGGGATATTATGAAAAATGATAAATGCTCAAATGACTATTTTATCATTTTCAATTATTTATTACTAATAGCAATATTAAACATAGCTTTAATATTTTAATTATTTTTAGCTAGATTAAATAAATTTTTTTGCACAATTAAATAAATTTATTTAAAAAAAATTAAATAAATTAAATATCAATAAAAATATATGTTATTTTTTAATTAAAATTATAAATAATAATAATAATTAAATGATGAAATAAAACAAAACATCGATTAAAATTTAAATAATGAAATAAAATAAAATATAAACAAAATTTTAAAATAAAACATCAATAAAATATTTATAAAAACTTATTTTAAAAAATTAAATAAATAAGACAAAAATAAAAATTAAATAAAATTATTTTATTTTTAAATTGAGGCATTTAAATTTTATTAAATTTTACTAAACATAATACATAATTAAATACCAGAGGGCAAAAATGTAATTTTATTAACTAATTTCATGGGATGAGTTATCCCATGGTTTCTATCCCCTCCTCCCCCCTCCCCTCTCTGGGATACCATAGTCCCACAAACTTTTGAAACAAATAACAGACTATCAATCCATCTGAATTAATAGTCCAATCCCATGTCCAATCCTTCCAAAACAAACACCCCTTTATGTATTTTGGTAAAAGTTGTAAGACTTAAAAAGTTGACTTACTAGTTAAATTTCTTAGAATTTGGAAAGGACAAACCTTAACATAAATGGTCAAGAATGCCGTTTTAATTCTGAACTTTTCTTTTGTTTCTTTTTTTGTTTTGTTTTTTACACCCTCTCATTCTCTTTCTCATTTTTGGCTCTATTTTTCTCTATCATTCGCTGTTAGAGGGGCCTCTGTCACGTCTACAGCACCGCCCTACCGTTCAACCATCACTATCACCGCTTCTATTGTCATCACTGTATCCATCGATGTCATTCCACACCAATCATCCGGTCTTTCTTTACCTTCAACCACTTAATTTAGCATATTGAAATTTCATTTCACCAAAGAAATTTCACTTCACTAAAGAGTCGCCAAAAATTATCACAATAAAATTTCACTTCACCGAAGAATTGCCAAAAAATTTCATTGGAAAAATGGACCTGCAGTGGTCATCGAAAAGTTATCGTCAGCAATTAGAGGTGGCGATTGGCGGCTGAAAGTGGTAGTGGCAATTGAAACCCGTGCGCGTTAAACAGTTTGGACACTCTCAGTCTTTTTGATTTACTCTCACTAGTGCAATGTGAAATATAGATGAGAGTT